CCCGGCCTCCTTTTCTCCCTCCCCACGACCTTAGCTCCACCTCCAACACCCCCTGCCAACCTCCCTAGCCACCAGTCTCACCAAACTGCCGGCCACCTTCTATCCCCTTGGCTCCACAAATCCCCCTTCACATTCAAAGCTCTTTCCTATTTTATCCCTTCAAACTTAGTAACAAATTGAAATTTAAAATTCAAATTAATTTGAATTTGAATTTTGTTTCTAAAATTAGGATTCTTATTTTAGGAAAGTATTTGAATTAGGTCCAGTTAATTATTTAATTGGATGTGATTTAAATATTACTCCTAAATTTTAAGGTTTCAATCAAAGTCTTTTTAATTCTCTTTCCATAACCTCTCCTCACCCTTTTAATGCCGCTTGCACCTTCCCCCCTTCTTGCTCTTTGCCTCCAAAATTTGAATTCCCCTTTGATTACTTTCCTTTTATCAAACATTTAAGTTAGGAAAATATTTGATTTCAAATTCTATGTAATTTTGAATTTGAAATACTTTCCTAATTTAAGATAGCCTATTTTAGGAAAGTTACTTAAATTAAATCTAATTAGGTTTCTAATTGGATTTGATTTGATTTAATTATTCCTAATATTTTGATCTCAATTAAAGCAAGAAATTCAAATCTCAAATGTCCCCTTTTTCCCCATATCCGTTCTACATAAAAAATGAATACAATGTAAAGTACAAATAGGTTGTGGGCAGGGTGACCGACGGTGCGGGGAGTGGATGATGACTGTCGAGGCTGGTGGTGGTTGGGTGGCCAGCGTTGTTAGGATGGTCGGTGTGTAGTGGAAGTCGATGGCGGAGGTGGCGGCTACAGGCGACGGCAGAGGTGGCAGCAGACTGTGGCAATGGTAGTGAGTTTGCGGTGTATTTGAAAATCGCCCAAATCTGAGAAATCTCAAATACACTGGATTTAAACTAGAATGTGTTTTGCATTCTTTTTACCTCAAACTAAACACCAATACTTCCAAAATATCTACATTTGGAATACTTTACATCCCTTTTGTAGTCAACCAAACAACCCCTAAGTGGATTTAAAAAATGGAGAGCTTATTACAATATAAGATTTAAATCAAGATCAATACACAACAATGTTCATATTATGGATCATCAGTAAGATTGGTCATCATGTTCTCAATAATTGATGTACTAGAAATTGTGATGGATGATAGCATAACTATGAAAAAGGAGGCCAAGCGTGTGCAATATAAAATTCATTGCAATCTTGTTTATTTTCATTTTGCCTATATTTGATAAAAGATTTACTTGGAATTAATGTTGAACTGCACAAGCATTGCACATGAAAAAAAAAAAAGATTTTGTGAATGTTATAATTTTAGTTCAAATATCTTAAAAATGGCTTACAAGATATGAGAGATGATAAGTGAAAATGCTCATTAACAAAGTAATTTTATTTTGAGAACACCAGAAAGTAGTTAGTCCTCACATAAGCAGAAAAAGGGTAGCTCATGGAAGTCCTCATTGAAAACTTATATTAAAGGATGTAGTCTAATGCATGATTTTCAACATTCAAAGGTATTAGAAGTTTTGTTGAGAAAATCATTTAGAGCAAGAAGTTTAATTTAAATCCCCTTGTTTTCAAGCTATTAAATTGGCATAAATTTTATCCATTGCTACATAAAAATGTTAAAAGAACTTTTCTATTATGATTGTTATAAAAAAACCGAATTCAAAATAGAATTGGAGATAAATGGATGAATAATACTTTAGTCAGTTATATTGATAAAAAATATTGGATGATATCAATAATAAAATAATTATTTAGCACTTTCAGAATATGAAAATTTAATGTTCTCAATTGTAATTTTTTTTATCATCATATATTTTACCTTTTTTATATTAATATATTCTAAAAACGAAATTTGTTTAAATCTCCAATGTAGATCCCAAGCTTGATGAAATTTTTGAAATAGCCAATCAATGCCCCCACTGAGAATATTTCTTGACTCTGCCACTGATATTAGACTATGTCTAGTTTTGATTGAGTTTTGGTAGATATAATAATGCTCAGCAGTGAAGGTAGCAAGGTTGATGAACAAGAAGTCTAATTGAAATCTTCAGTGAATTTTGACAAAGACCGGTGCAGAAGTTCATTTTTAGCTTTTTTTTAATTGCGTGTAACTGTGGGGTGGATTTTAATAGCAAATGCTACAATTGTGATAATCAATTAGTTTTAAGAAATAAATTATGGAAAGATGAAAGCGTACCTGTGGCAAAGGTAGAGCAGCTGCCAGGTCGATAAAGAAATCTGACTTTAAATATCTTTTTGCTATCTGTTTATGGTCATTAACAAGCTCTCCCCTTCCAAAAACTCTAGAACTTGGAGCTATAAATGCAGTTCGAAACTTTATCACAATATGAAACACATAGACGATGTCAGCAAGTGACCGGAAAACAGTAACTGCAACGCACAAACCCCAGTCCATCTTCTTCACACATGACAAACTATCACCATTATGGATTGAGGGCAAATAGAAATACAGTGGATCTATGAAAAGAGCAACCAGGCTAGTTATGAGGAATATGCGATTCCATTTTACCATTATATCACTTCCTGGATCAAGTGTCCATTTTTGCCATGGATCAAGGACATTTCCCTCAGGAAACACCTTGGACCCTGCAGTATTTGTCGGAATGACTTTGGTTGGTAAGCTCCCTCCGCTTTTGGGAGGCTGGAGAGCAGACTTAGCTAAGATTTTCTTCTCATCAGGATAGAACCTGAATAGAAAAAAAGCATGAAGAATCTTATAACTACAACGGACCTGCATTTAAAAAGGATCTTTGAAAAAATATAATTCCAAATTAAAAGAAACCACTGAATTGTTATTCAAACTGATCCACGAGGAGAACTCCTATCTTTTTCCATTTCATAGGTCATAAAAAGGCTATGTCGAAATTTTTAGTTCATAACCGCAAGGAAAAAGTCATAACATAATTTTTAGTTCATAACATAATTCCACAAGAGAAGATAACTTCAAACAGACCACTCCAGCAACACGAACCCATCAAGGAAACCAAGACACAAATTTTAATTTTCAATAGCGTCGCAGAAATAAAAGGAAAAAAAACAGTTGTCTTCTTCTCAAGGTACCAAAAGATCGGAATCAGCGAGCAATCTTGTCCGAGCTGCCATTCCAAAGTGGACTAAATCAAAAACCCAAAAAAGACAAGCAATATATCGAATTAACGACTTTATAAGGATTTAGAACTAATAGAAAACTCTAGAAAGTTAAGGAAAAAACCAAAAAAGGAAAAGTCAGTGATCCGCTCTAGCATCTAACTTATAGCAATTACCCGACGAATTACCCCATGAAAATTAATGTTTCCTCGCAATCCATAGAGAAAGATCGAAACCGAAACAAATTCCAGCAACTCACCTGACCGTCCTCTCCTTCCAGAGTTCCATTTCGTCGTCAACCCTCCTCGGAGCGAACATCGCCGGAGCCCAAAAATTTGAGACGGCGACGATCTAGCCCAGCTAGCAGAGCTACTTCCCGAATCCCTCAGCGCCCGTGATTTCCTCCATGATTCAATCTCATTTTCCAAGCATCTCCGCTCCGCTTGTACTACAAAAACCTCGGAGCCAGATTTCTCCTTGGAAATAGCGTCCAAGCTCTCCAAGACAAAGATATAAACATGAGGAGAGCACGAAATTGAGAGCTATTTCTTCCCCGATCAGGTATGGATACCAATCTGCTTCATCTCCTGGTTTTTACTGCCAAATAGTTGAGAAAGGCGGGTTCTTTTTACTTGAACTCGACAATAAGCACAATTGGACTTCTCTCTCTCTCTCTCTCTCTTGCTATCTTACTTCCTCCTTCTGGATGGTTAGGGTTACACTTGATATCGGCTGTTTAACTCATAATAGGAGACAGCGTAGCCATTGGCACGGCAGTGTTGAGCTTAATGCTGTCGGGCCCACTGTGATCCAGCTTTCACGTTGACTTTACACGTGGTACTGATCATAAAGTTGACTTGACTAAACTCTTTAAGTCAAATTTTTAGTCTAAACATGATTAGAAAGTTAATTAAGAAAATAAGCATACTTAAAAAAATTTAAAATTAGGCATAATCGCCCTTTGAGTCGACGACTTAGGCTGACTTGGCATAGATGAGCCAGGTAGCCGTTATAATGTTTGTCACTATAGAAGTCGCCCGTTGTCTGGGTGACTTCTAAGTCGCCCATTGAACGGGCGACATAGATTTAATAATTAAAAAAATAAATATATTTTATATCTCATATTAAATGTTGCATTGTATGTACAGTGTATATGAAGATGGACTTAGATTATCCATTTGTTTTTTTTTAAGGTATGTGTGAGATCTTGTTCCCTTACTATTCCTCTCTAGATTGGATTTTCCTCCCAGGATCGGCCGGGACGATATTAAGATCGGTCAGGCCGATCAGTGTACTGAAAACGGCTGTTTCCTGGATCGTCCCGAGGATCACCCTGTGAATCGTCCAGGCCGATGGATTTTGGTCTGATCGTCCCAAGACGATATTGCGATCGGCCGGGCCGATCAGCTTTATGATATAAGAAAATCAGCTCGTTTTGAGGAGAGAGAAAATCATTTTTTAAAAATCAGATATTTTGAAGAGAGAGAAAGAGAGGAAAAGTAAAGGAAATCCTGGGTTTTGGAGGCCGCGGAGCACTTTTCGTCTGACGCTGCTGTTGGAGAAAGTGTGGATCTCGTGGTAAGGACTCCGAATCCTAATTTCTGTTTTCAGAGACTGTTGTATTTTTGTCGAGTTCTGTTGATCTGTTTTTGTTTTTCGAGTACGAATTTTGGACTGAATTTTGGTATGACACAACTTTCACCGCAACAACTTTTTGGTATGTTATAGTATTGACTATTGTACATGATTTGAGTATTTTGCGAACGATTTTACCGGTCGGAATTGATTCTACGCGATTTTTATTGAATAGAAAAAATATTCAGGACGAATTTGATTTGGATTCTAATAGAACAATAGTCTTCTGTATTGATCTCGTGAATATTCTAACTGTAATTTGGAGAAATTTAGAATTTGTGCTTTTGCAGATTTTTGTGTAAATTGATAGATTGTCCGTATAACTCTGCCGATTTTCGTATGATTTTTGAATTTTCTGAAATTGACTAGATTGATTGATATGCGTATGACTATTGATATGATTGTTCTAGATTGCTTTAATATTGTTTATTGAATTGATTATTGATTGATTATTGAATGATTCTTGAATTGACTATATGATACTGGAAAACAAGTGAACATGGTTGAACGTTGGATGGAGATTGAATTGACCTGTACAGGATGGTGGGCCGACGGGCTTTCCTTTAAACCATTTGATCATTGATATAACGATTGGAGTCATAAGAGTTTCTTATTAGAGTATGTCGACGGGCGGCCGACGGGCAATTAGAGTGACGATATCTTTTATTGAAACAACGTATGGAGTATCTTACAACAGCAACATAGCAGTTGTTTGTACTTGTTCAGTATTATCGTATTGACTGCATGTTTACTGTTAGAGCATTACGAATTTTTTTTTTCGATTTCGCTTTTATTGATTGTTCGGATTTATGGATTTACTGTATCGTACGGTTTATAGATCTCATTGATTGATCAATTGACATGGTACTATTTGATATGTATTTAATTTGACATTGGATGATGGATAGAATGGATTTAGATATGATGTGGACATTATAGTATTTATTGATATTGATATAGACTCATTGATACTATCGATTCTGCAGTATTTTATTGCTATTAGGAGTATATTGAGATTTATCGATATGTACTTTTCGATTGATTTTACTCACTTGATAATAGATTTGCTTTGATTTGACTGATTGATTTGACGGATTGATTTGACAGGTCAGCGGTTGACTTGATTGAGGATATGATTTGATTTTCTTCTGTATAACGTGATTTCTTCGAGATGATATTCGAGTATTATGTGATTGAGCTAGATTTATCGATTTGGCTCTTGCTGCTGTATGACTGGTTTCATTGATCTAGTGAGGATTTCCGTATTGCTCAGATTCAATTGACCATTGACTGATATGGATGTTAATTTGTATTGCATCTATTGCATATGTAATTAGCTCTCGATGGCTTTGTTGAATTTCAGTTTATAAGGTATTTAGTGACCCTGCTGGGCTTTATAAAAGCCTCATTTATCATGTGGTTGTATGAATTTTCAGGTCAGGGGCAATGGGAGCAGAAGATACGAATTGATCCGGATTACTAGGTTTTTTGTCTTTTTGATGATTTTGATTCTTTGTTACTCATGATAGATTTCAGTACTAGTATTGTAGTGTAGTTCCTGAGTATTTGTACATGACTTTTTGAGTTATGAATCGACTTGTATATTGATGTTTTAAATTTTATATAGATGTTGATAGACTGTTTAATTGAAGGTTTTAGATAACTCTGGTAAATTGTTTGAGAAATAGATTGACATTCTTTCCAAGTTAGATCTTGGGGCGTGACAGTATGTATAATACAAGGATAATTTTGTTAATTAATTAACAATTACGAGCATGAGCACAAACACAAAAGTAACCAACAAATCTGACCAAATCGGATAGATCTGAAGTGCACTAGCAACAAGTATATGAATCTATTACTTCCTAAATTACTTCATAAGTGAAAGTTTTAAAATCTTAGCTCATCACCTAAAATCACCTCATTCTACACTTTTACACCGTGCATTTTCTTCTTCTTTTTTTCCTTATTCTACCTTCTATTTATGAAAGGATTATATAAATATAAATTTAAAAAAAAATTACACAAAACTTACCCAAAATGGCAAAATCCGACGGTGAACAGTGAGCTTGCGACGAGATCGGCGAGGACAAACAGAAAGGGCACGGTGAGTAGGGCTTCGGTCTTTGATTTTAAAAAGGGCAAAGTCGCTCGTTAGACGGGCGACTTACGTTATTGGTAAGTCGCCGAATGAACAGGCAACTAACATTAAATATAATCGCCCGTTTAACGGGCGATTATGTCTACTTTTAAATTTTAAAAAAATAATAATGCTTAATCCCGTAATTAAGGCTCTAATCATGCTTAGTCCTAAAAATTGCCCAACTCTTTATGACTGGTTGTGTTGTTACACTAAAATATTTGGCCTTAGCAAGAAACATTCCAACACAAAATCCAAGCAGCAAGTTTGAACGAATACTTAGGCTTCGTTTGGGATCTTATTATTTTTTAAAATAATTTTTTAATACAACAAATAAAATTTGAATACTAAAAAGCAATTAGAAAGCCGTACCAAACAAAACCTTAGAGATCCAAAAATCAAAGGTATTTCATAATGAGGCTCATTTGGAACAGTTTTCGTATATAACTCATGAAGAAGTTAAAGACATATTTGGGAACTCATTTAGGACCTAAAATTATTTGATAATATCATTCATACGAGTCAACATGTTAACAACTTAATCTAGTAAATTGGGCTCATCAACCAACAAATTTATCAAAGTCACTGACATTGCCTAATGAGTCGGACTATACCTAGCAAGTCATCTTAACAAGTCAGTGGCTTCTTATTTGGCAAGTTGTTGATTCCTTGAAGTGAGTTAGCAACTCAAGTAATTTTGTCGTCATCATATGGTGAGATAGAGATTCATCAACAATCATGTGCATGCATGGCGATCGACATGTACTTTTTAAAATAAATTTTTTTGTTTATATATTTATGGCTACACTTCTCGTGAATCATATGTTATTTTATTATTATTATTATTATTCATGTGTAGCTTCTTTTATAAACATCTTGATCTTACAAATACAGGGCTGGGAGAGATTTTTTTGAATTATGCTATTTTTACTATTTAAGAAGAACAAAAAAGCCCAAAGCTTCTATCTCTGCATATATATAAGAAGAACAATAAAGATTTTTTGCAATAATAAAGTTTTAATCAATAATTATGGATTCGAAATTGTGTATATATGACAGTACTAAAAGATGACTTGCAAACACAAATTGAGCCTAAAAGAGAGTTAAATTAAAAATCTTATCATATTGCAGTCAGAGGTACATGACTGGTTTGACTTGAGTTAATTAGAATGTATCAAGCTTATCATCTAATCTCATATTTATAAATCTGTTGTAGTTCAATATTATATGAATAATTACATTTTGAGTGATACAACTAAAATTTATATTACAAGGCTTAAATAATGTTTCTTGCAAAATTATCTAAGTCTTGTTGAATGATATATGTCTAAATACTTGAGCAATTTTTGATGACTTAACTAAGAATGAGATTTTTAATTAAGAATACCTTTTAATGAATTCCCTAACAAGTTCTCTTGACTAGTTTATTTTTAAGTGGGTGAATAGTTCTAGATTGTTTTAACAACCTCAATTGCAACATCATATGAGAAGCTTTATCATAAAATTGAGTTCATTAATTAGGCGACTTGACGAAAATGCCTCTTTTGTTGGCTTGAAGATTATATCAGCAAATTGACTTGACAAATATTACTCAAATTTTAAAATACATCAATATCTTCAAGAAAGAGAGTGATGATTGTGTTCCTGCAGATAATATATGTTTTGATGGAGACTAAAAATAAAATTGATCGTCTCCGAAAGACATGTCAAACCATCGAGAAGAATTTTTGGAAGTGTACCTGAATCCATTGAAATGCAGAATTAAGATTTTCGGTCTTCCACGTTTAGAGCGGCGTTCTCCAAGAGAGCGAGAGACCCATTTTTTTCACTCAAGATGAGAAATGAGGGAAATGAGAACTTAACCGCTTAAATTGGGGACCACGACCATTT